TCACTACTGGACGAGGAACTAAGGTTCCGCCGTTGATACGTTCACCACGCAGAATGGCATCAATCTCTTCACGAGACAAAGTCTCAAACTCAATCAGACCAGTAGCCAGTCGCTCCAAGTCGTCACGGTGTTCATTGAGGCAGTTGATGGTGCGTTCCCGCGATTCGTGCAGTAGTCGTTTGATAGCATCCTCAATACGCTGCTTGGTTGGAGTACTCAACAGTTGACGCTCTTCGTCAGAATAAGATATCAAGCCAACAGTTTCATCCATGCCAAACTGTGTAACCATCTGAGTTGCAATCTGAGTAGCTTTCTGCAAGTCATTGTGTGCGCCGGAAGAAGCGTGATCAACGCCATAGATGAGTTCCTCGGCAATTCGGCCACCCATGCTGACATCAATCATTGCCAGGTATTCTTGTCGAGTGTAAGAGTCCTTGTCAAGCTCAGGAAGCTGAACAGTCATGCCCAGACTCATTCCACGCGGCATGACAGTTGCCTTGTGCAGTGGAATTGCACCTTGAGTCCGCAGAGCCATCAATGCGTGGCCGCCTTCATGATAGGCAGTGCGGCGCTTGCTCTCAGCAGTTACAACGGCAGAACGGCGCTCAGCACCCATCAGAATCTTATCTTTGGCAAAATCCAAATGACGCATTAATACAGTGCGAGAGCCATCGCGAGATGCTTGAATGGCAGCATGGTTGACAAGATTGGCCAAGTCGGCACCAGAGAATCCAGGAGTGCCTCTTGCAATTACAGAGATATCCACAGTTGGGTCTAGCGGCACATTCTTTGTGTGGAGAGACAGAATTTGAATACGTCCACGAACATCAGGCAAGGGCACGTTAACATGACGATCAAATCTGCCAGGACGAACCAATGCCTTATCCAGCATTTCAGGGAAGTTGGTGGCAGCAATAAATATCACACCTTCAGAAGGAGAGAATCCATCCAAATCGACCAACAACTGATTCAACGTTTGCTTAATATAAGTTTGGTCCTTTGCACTTCTCTTTGCGCCAATGGCATCCAATTCATCGATGAATACAATTGATGGTGATTTGCGACGAGCGGCTGCAAATAATTCTCTGATTCTCTTTGCACCCAATCCAACATAGACTTCATCAAATTCACTTCCGGCCATAAAGAAGAATGGAACTCCGGCCTCGCCTGCCACTGCTCTGGCTAGCAGTGTCTTTCCTGTACCTGGCGGGCCAGTCAACAAAACACCCTTTGGCATTCTTCCACCTAGCTCAGTGAATCGCTTTGGATCCTTCAAAAACTCAACCAATTCTTCCAGCTCCTGCTTGGCTTCATCACATCCCTGGACATCGGAAAAGGTGACTCTGTCTCCACTGCCAGTTCCTGGTTGGAATTCATTGGGTGTGGTGCTTTGTGCACTTTTAATTAGTCCAGAGTTTTCTAATAAAATGTTCATAAATGTCAAAGCAACAAACAAATACACAAATGTTGATCCAATCCAGCTCAACACTCTCCAAATTAATGGAGTTTGCTGTGGATTTTCTACTATAACTCGAACTGGCTGTTGAATTTCATTAGAATTGCTACCACTGGAGGATTCATTCTCATTTGAGTTCTGTTTGAATATATTTGAAAGAGAATCTGTGAATGAACCATTTTGATCTCTATCTATATTTTGCATTGATGAAGATGAAGATGAAGTTGCAGATGAAGAAGCGAATGATTGAGAAGGCATGTTTGCAGTTGCTTTGCCAATATCAGCTAAAGAAGACTCATCAACAAATTTGGCCATTTGATCCAGTAGATGAGGCTCCTTCTGAGCCAATAGACCCACTCTCTGCAGTATTTGATCACTTTTACCAATCTTCACCAATGATTCCACATACAGCTGTAAACAGCTCGTGTCAGTTGAGTATTTACCAGACTCCACTCTTTGAATAACCTCTGAATATCTACCAACTTTATTCAGCTCCTTATAATACACTAGCTGCTTAACTGCTGATGATGGATTGCGGTCTGCATCTAAGCTCAGGCTGGATAATCTTCGAAGTGCCAATAGTCTAACTGCTGAACTCGAGCCAGAACTACTGCTTTCCACAGCAGCTGATGTAGTAAATTGTCTTGATTGAAATCCGGATCCAAGCGTCGCCGATGAGGCTGGTTGAATATTCTTTTCGCCACTGGAACCGATCGATCCACTCGAACTACTCTTCAAGCTAGAAGCAACAGTTCGACCAGCAAGAGACAGGGCCCGTCCTGCTGCTCCTACTGCTCCTGCTGCTGCCGCAGGAGTGGCTCTGGACAATACATTACCAGACAAAACAGAGCCAGCAAGCTTTGCTGACGTTGATGACTTGAAGGGCATCATCACCTGTAAAAAAAAAAGTTTTATATCGGATAAAAGTTGGCAAACTGAGCCGAAATTTGGCATCCGGATCCTTCTGTTTGTCTGTGTGTGTGAAGTTTTGGCTCTCTCGTTTCTGACTCGCTCATACCACTTGTAAACAAACAACAACAACAATAGCAATAACAACAGCAATAACAACAGCAGCAAAAAGCCAATCGACTCCAAGTTTTTTCTTTGTTTTGTATCGTTTTGTTGCGTGATTGACGAAATGCCACCAGCTGCTGCATCGCGAGCGAAAGCCACAGCTCGTAAAACCGCAACAACCGCAACCGCAGCGTCAAAGAGCAAGACAAACAAGAAGAATGCTACAACGAACGCTCGTCAACAAGCAGAGCCTGCGCAGAACAGACGCCGCACTCGGTCTCAAGCTGTCAACTATAACGAATCAGACAATGAAGCCAGCATCTACGAAGAAGAAGAAGATGGTGGTGATGGTGATGATATCGATGATGGATATGGAGAAAGTCCAATTTTGCCTACCAAACGGTCAGCTCCACCAGCAGCTGTGGCTGGAAAGAAAGCAAAGACTACGAGACCATTAAAGAAGCCAGCTGTGGAAGTGTATGGTGACGGTGATGATGATGATGGCACCAGTGGAATTGTAGATGAATTAACACCAGTTAGACCAGGCTATCGTCCAAAGGTTAGACCAATTGAACATAATATTAACATGAGCGAGTCTTCGGACTCTGAGTTGGACTTGGATGATATTGAGCCTGCACCTGCACCTGCACCAGCAAAGACCAAGAACAAATCAACCACAGCAGTAGCATCAACGGTAGCTGTGGCGCGTGGTAAATCGACAAGAACTGCGGCAAATGGCGTAGCAGACACGAAACAACCCACTCGTAAATCGAGCAGATTGAGTGCGCGGCCAACAGCATCGATTGGCCTTGTCGAACATGAGATGCTGAACCCATACTCTCGCGTGTCTCAACAGCAACAGCAACAACACCACCAGCAGCTGTCAGATGATTCTTTGTCACCACCGCAACAGCAACAAACTAAACCATCGAAGGTGGTCAAGACCAAGGCTAATGTAGCAACAGCTGTCAAATCAGTGACGAATGGCGTCCCAAAATCAACTATGGATTTCGAATATAACAGTAGCAGCAAAGCAGAGATTGAAGAATTGCAGGCAAAATTAGATCGAATTACAACGCAGTATGATCACTTGCGACAGATTAAAATATCAGAACCAGAGCGTCAATTGGAAGAATATCAACGTCTTTACAGAAATCAATTGGAAAACCACAAGCAACAAACCAATTATTTGAATAAAGAAAAAGACAAGCTGGCTTCAGAGTTAAAGAACACTCGATCAGAGTTGGAGGATGTGAAAGCGCAACTTTTGCAAAAACAGCAACAATTGACGCCGGCATTCCAATCATCCACTGGGAAGATGCCAGAGGATGGCACAAGAGATGCGAATATGCAGCGCGCAAAGGTAATGTTGGCTGAAAAAGATAAGCAAATTATTGAATGGAGAACGAAGTATGAGGATTTGGTTGAACGCACCCGCTATCGTACATTTACAGATCAGCAACAGCAACAGCACCAGCAACAGCAGCGATTCAGCCACAGCTCAAACGGCAATAGTGACAGTAACGGAAATGGCACGCGTGAAATGATAGACATGTTTGAACACCTCACAAATATGAAGTTTATCGAAGTCGAAACGAGCGACGATATCACGACTTACAAGTGCAGCGTTGTCGGTGTGAATGGTGAGCTGGAGTTTACGCTGTTGGTTGAAAATGACACCTCAACAACAGTCGAGTATGCATGTGACAAGTGGATAGCATCCAAGACTACAGCTAAGAAGCAATTCCCAGAATGGATGGTCTCACTGGACAAGACAACGTCGTTCTCAAGCGAAATGCTACCACTATTCTTTTGGAGAATACTCGATTACATCCATCAACCACCCCAAAGCTCTCAGTAACTTAATCAAATGCTTCTTTAGGTGGTTTGCTAATCTCTCTTTTTCCTATTACTTTCTCAGTTCTCATTTTTATTCTTATTTTATTTTTATTCTTACCCTTTTCTCTTGTTTGTTTAATGTAAAGTGTTGTGTGTTTCAATGTACGAGTAATGGTGCAAAGAAATTATGCTGCTGGTACTGCCGGTGCTGTATTGCTTAGTGTTTGGCGGTTGATGTTGGTGCGGGACTGGATGAGTCACACAGTCTGTGACAACAGAAAAACAGCCAGCATCAAAAGCGTCGTGGCGCAGCGGCTAGCGTGTTGGGCTCATAACTCAAAGGTCGGTAGATCGAAACTACCCGACGCTACTCCTTTTGCCACGCCTCGCTGTGGTGGAGTCGGCTGTTTTCGCGAACAGCGCCGTTGGTGTCAACTTTGTGCATAGAGAGCATAGTTCTGCGCGTCAAGAGCGACGATGTCCAGGCCACAAAGCGCGCTGTCTGCAATCGTGAAACGCTCTCCATAATCGGCTCCAGAGCACTCAAAATGCGGGCTGAATAAACAAAATACACACATAAATGCACACACGCGCACACACACACACACCTCCTCCAAAATACACCACAAAAACAAAACAGGCATCAACCACACAGCATGATCGCCACAACAGACACGAACGCGAAAAGACGAGGCTCCTCCGAGATTCGAACTCGGGTCATCGGAATCAAAATCCGATGTGATAACCACTACACTAAGGTGCCATTCCGCTGTTCCACAGAAAATTCAGCTTTCGACTTGTCGCCTGCAAAGTGAGTGGCAATATTGCCATGTGTTGGACACTGGAATCGCACACTCCTGCTCGATTCGCACAACATCACTTGCGCCAGCTCTGCACAGCACTGTGTTCTAACGTGGAGTGCTGTTCACTCCGTTGACTCTCGTTGCTTACTTAATCCTATATTTCCCGTCGCTCTGCTCCGCTACTCAGCACATCTCCTTCGTCCTCTTCTTCATCCAAATATAATCACACACACTCATAGCCGACTATGCTTACACCAGTCACTTTCCAAAACAACAAGTCCAAGCCCAGCGTGTTTATCACAGCCGGCGACAACTATCTTGGCTACCGCCTTGCTCAGCTGATGCTGTCGCCGGAGCTGAAGGACCGTGTCGGCGAGGTTACTGTTGGCAGTCCCTCCGTGCTCCGTACACCAGCTCCTGAGAACACGATGCCGCGCAGCAACGGTGAAGACTTGCTGTGCGAACTCAAGCACCTTGGTGCCAAGGTGGTCGCCTATGATGCTGCAGGCGTCGAGAGCGATGTCGACTTCCGCGGCCAGCTGCAGGGCACTGATGTGGCAGTGTTGATTCCACCGTTTGACCATTACAACCTGCGTGGTGAGGAATATGAAGCACATTGTATGATCAAGGAGACCGAGTCGATGCTGCGCGCTCTCCACTCGGCCAAGATCGACACCTTGGTGCAGTGGTCGATTCCCAAGTTTGACGGCTGGACGGAGCAAGAACACTTGCCGGCAATTGACGTGCTCCAAATGCTCGAGACCGCTGTCAAGACCATGTATGACAGCTACAGCTGCTCCTTTTCACTTTAATACTCAAATGTCTCTTCTTGCCGAGGGACTGCTAATCGTTTATTCAAAGAAGATGATGATGTTTAAGCTATTGGCTGGTTCGACAACCAGCGGTTGGTCAAGGCTTGGATTGGACGCGGCTGGTCATAGGATGGTGCATGACCAGCTCCAAAGACACGAGCAAATGTCAGAGGTCCAGCGCTGCGCACCTCGCCGGCAGGCTTGCCGTCAACCGACCACGCTCTGTCCGGCGCCGCGTTGAATACCGGCTTGTTGTACCAGTCCAGATCCTTCATCCACGCCTTGGCTCCGTACCAGGTGCAGACGAAGTCGGCGTCGCCGGCGTACACCAGCACGCGGATGCCTTTACGGAGCAGACCAGGAATCAGGCGGAGATAGGCCGGAGACATCCAGTCACCTGACTGGCGATATCCCATGTAGATGTCCAAGTTCACCATCTGGAACGTCTGGTTGACGCCAAGAGCAGCCTGCACGTCGGGCTTGTTGAAGTACTTTTCGATTGTCTTGTATACTGGGTAGCACAGATAGCCCTCCTCGCACTTGATACGCACATCGTACGAGTTAAGGCCAGAACGGAAGTACAGCTCGAGCTGTGGAACCAAGCAGCGGTTGAGTGCGGCATTGCAGTCGTCCTTGGCAAGCGTTTGGTAGCAGCGTGCAATGGTGGGCTTGCACTCGGTCTGGAAGATGTGGTCCAGCTGCTGGCACTGCTCGGTCGGAAGCACCTGGCCGTACGTCGAGTTGCACGCCATCTTGGCATACGACTCAACATGATGGTACGGGTCAATCAAACCGCTTCCAATGCCGATGCTCTCCAACTGTGGACGGTTGCGCATGGCGTGGGCAGATGCAGTTACAAAATGCGCCGCAAAACTCTCGCCAAAGATGTGCAGCTTGCTGGCGCG